TCCTCCTCCTCCTCCCCCCTCCTCCTCCTCATCCTCCTCCTCCTCATCCTCCTCCTCCACCCTCCCCCTTTCCTCCTTCTTCTTCCTCCCTCCTCCTCCTCCTCCTCCTCCTCCTCCTCCTCCCCCCCCTCCTCCTCCTCCTCCTCCTCCTCCTCCTCCTCCTCCTCCTCCTCCTCCTCCTCCTCCTCCTCCTCACTCCTCCTCCTCCCCCCTCCCGTCCTCCTCTTCCTCCTCCTCCCCCTCCCCCTCCTCCTCCTCCTCCTCCTCCTCCTCCTCCTCCTCACTCCTCCTCCTCCCCTCCTCCTCCTCCTCCTCCTCCTCCTCCTCCTCCTCCCCCCTCCCCCCCCCCCACCCCGCCCCCTTCCTCCCCCACCTCGCTCCACCTACTCCGCCTCCCCCCCTCCTCCTCTTCCTCCTCGCCCCCCTCCCTCCCTCCCCCTCCCCCATCCTCCTCCTCCCCGTCCTCCTCCTCCTCCTCCCTCCTCTCCCCTCCTCCTCCTCCTCCTCCTCTTCCTCCTCCTCGTCGCCCCCCCCTCCTCCCTTCCTCTCCCCTCCCTCCTCCCCCTCCTCCTCCTCCACCCTCCTCCTCCTCCTCCTCCTCTCCACCTCCGGCCCCCCCCCCCCCCCCCTCCTCCTCGTCGTCGGGGGTGGGAGGTGGGCGGGGAGGGGGGGGGGGGGGCGGCGGCGGGGGAGGAGGGGGAGCAGCAGGGCGAAGTGAAGCGGAAGATGAGGCAGAGGAGGCCGCTGAGGAGTAGGAGGATGGAGAACGAAGAGGAGGAGGAGGAGGAGGACGCGGTGGAGGGCGGTGGGAAGGGGCGCGGAGGTGGAGAGGGATGAGGAGTTGGAGGGGGAGGACGATGCTGAGGAGGAGGGAGGCGGAGGAGCCGCAGGGGCAGGAGGATGGCGACCCGCTGCTAAGCCTCAGGACTTCCAGAGCCCGACCTTCGTCACCCACCTGGAGTCGTGCTTTGCGCAGTGCAGCTCGGCCGAGCACGTCGAGCTCCTCGACGCGATGCCCCTCGCGCGCATGGCCCGAGCGACCCTCGCGGCAATGGACGGGGCCTTGGCGAGCACGCAGGAGAGATGGATCAAGGGCTTCGAGACGGCCGCTGCCAGCATGGCTCAGTGGGAGCCGCATTGGCGACCAGTTGGCGAAGAGCTCCTGTCGTCGCCACCGCATGCCATGGCGAAGGAGCTAGTGGCGAACAAGCAGCTCAAGCCGTTGGGGCAGGTGCAGAAGTCTCCGCGCTGCTCCAGTTGGCGCGTCGGTTTCCAGGTGTGTTCCCAGCAGCTGAGCTCACGAAGTGGGGAGCTGCAACGCTTGCTGGCATGGTGACGGTATCTCTCACATTCGTCATCTTCTCCATGAAGTACGCCTTCCCCCAGCTCAAGGGGCCCAAGAAGATGGAGGCCTGACGCGCCGACGACGTCGGCGCTGACGATGGCGGCGGATGGAGAGGATCAAGAGGCAGTGGAGAGGAGCAGGGGGAGGAGAGGAAGGGATGCCGGAGGAGAAGGAGGACGACGGAGGAGGAGGAGGAGGAGGCGGCGCCCTGGCAGGACGAGCGAGATGAGGAGGAGGAAGCGCGAGGAGGCGACCTGACAGGGTGACGACGGCGACAGCGAAGTCAGGCCGCCGCCGAGCAGCTCAAGCGCGACCTGCAGGCGAAGGGCGTGTGGCCCCACCTCCCCGTCTGCGTGTGCAGCGCGCTAGACAAGGGCGGCATCACGCTCGAGGTGGCCAAGGACGAGGCCGCCCCCGCAGCCTTCGCCGCCCCAGACGCCGCCGCAGCCAGCGCCGCCGCAGCCAGCGCCGCCCCAGCAGCCAGCGCCGCCCCAGCAGCCAGCGCCGCCCCAGCAGCCAGCGCCGGCGGCGGCTCTGGGCCCGCTGCCAGCAGCGGTGCTGGTGCATGAGACGCGCGCCGCCTCGCTGCGAGGCCTCTGGCGGCACCCGACGGGCCTGGGCCGAAGGGCCTGGGCCCTGGGCCCCGGAGTCGCACACCGGAGGGGGTGGGCGATGGAGGATGGCGGTGAGGGCGGAGAGGGGGCAGGCGCGAGGATGCGAGGAATGGCGATGCAGTTGGAAGAGGACGAGGCAAAGGCGGAGGAGGAGGTGGAGACTGGCGGAGAGGCGGGCTCCAAGAGGAGTGGGCCGCGGGCCCATGATTTTCCTGCAGATCCTCACCCTCCTACTCATCAGCCCCCGCCCGCCTGTCTCCCACCTCCCTCCCATCCTCCGTCCCCCCCGCCCCGCCGCTCTCCCTGTCGAGTTGCCCTCCTCCTCTCCCCCCCCGCTTCCCATCCCGTCGTCCTCGCCCGCCCTCGCGTCCCTCATCCTCCCCTTCCCCCCACCCCCCCGCCCTCCCCTCTTTCCCGTCCCCTCCCCCTCGCCTCCTGCGCCCTCTCCACCTTCCCGCCCTTTCGTTTCTCCCTCCCCCCTCCTTCTTCCTCCTCCACCTCCCTCTCCCCCCCCTTCCTTCCGGCGCCCCCCTTCCCCAACCACCCCCCCCGCCCTCCGCACTTCGCAGGTGCCAAGGTTTTCGTTCCCTCGCATGCGGGTTACCGCTGCCGCGCGGCAGCGGTCGTTCTCAGACTTTGACCGCCGCTGTCCTGACATGCGGGTTGTCGACGGCGGTGGCGAAACGCAAAACACGTTTCTTTTACAGATGCCATCTCCTCGGCCTCCCCTCTCTACTCCTTTTCCGTCCTCCCCCCCTGTTCCTCTGCCGCTCCTTCTGGTTGACTGGTTGATCTTTCCCTCCTCGTCGTCGCATCCATATGCTGCGGTGCAGACACTGTTGCGGGTGTGACTTGTTTGATATCTGATGTGTCTGGCAGTGTCGCAGTGTGCCGAACTTACCGAGAACTACCGACAATATTTTTTGGCGGCGTCGGACATAATTGTAGGTTGGTCGTAGGAATATGTGTTGGGGTCGTCGGGATTATTTGTTGGGGGCGTTGGGAATTAATTGTTGGGGTCGTCAGGGTTGTCGGCCTGATCGCTCACCGGGGCCGCTCAAGACATGTGCAATAGCTTCTCGGATGCAGGGCGGGTCGTTTTCAGAATGAGGCTCTCGCCGAAGCGCCGCGCACATACGCTTCAGAAATGTGCAAGAGCTTCCCGAATCGATGGCGCTTTTTAAATAGTAATAATAATATTATTAATAATAGTACAGCTGATAACAATAATAATAGTAACAAACAAAGGAAAACATATTGTCGCCTGATCGCCGCGCGCATTCGCTTCAGAAATTCGCGAGTTTCAAGGACTCCCAGAAATTATTTTGTCACGATGTCGGGTTGTCACGGGCGCAGCAGTTACGTTGTCTCGTGGTGTTGAGGTCCCAACAATAGTGTTTGTGTCACGATTCAGGATCGTCAAGAAGTAACAGTTAAGGTGGTTCGCGGCGTCGATGTCCCAGGAAATGTGTTCTAGTACAGCGCAGGATTTTCGAATGGTCCTCTTTCGACGGGGCACATAATTCAATGAATATGCATCCTTATAAGGGTCCTGTGACGAAAGAAACTGGAGAGAGGGTTGCTTGCAATACCCTTGATTTCGGTTTCCAGTGGTCCTCCTCCTCGTTCTCCGTCTCCTCCTCCCCTTTCTCTCCTTCCGCCTCTCCCGGTCATCGCCCTCCTCCCGCTTCCTCCCGCCTCGCCCCGCCGGTCGGCCACGCGCGCCGCGTCCCGGTGCAGCGAGCACGCTGAAGTGCAGCCAACCCGTGTCACAAGGGTGCGCGGCAAGGGCGCAAGGGCCTAAGAGGCCCATGTGAGCGTTTTTCGAATGAGGTTGGCCAGCCAAGGTCGCCAAGGACGGGCCGAAGGGGCAAGGATGCAAGGGTACCCTTGGGAAGGTAACCCATCCTTACTACGCGGGTTGACTGTACAGTGAAAGCGTTGAAGTACGGCCCATTTTGAGTTTAGGAAGGGTTCTGGTTTTCGGGCGACTCCTTAGATTTAGGAGGTTCGAGGAACTCTTCGTGGCTGCGGCGCTCCTCATGCCAGCGCGAAGACTGTACTATCAACATGGGGACGGACAGAATGGACACGAAGACCAGCAGCAATCCCTGTCCATGTTGAACAGGATTCCTCCTCGGTGTCGCCGCGAACGTTGCCCGTTTGAGGCAGAAAGCTCCCTGCCCAACAGCGACCGCTGTCGGTTTTTGACAACCTGTGTCATTGGGCATCGTACGAATTGTTCCCCGTACTCATTTCGGTCGTCCAAACCATGTGCTCGTAATTTCATGGTGTGGGGGCGTTCGTTCAGGAATGTGCCCAGGAGGCTTCAGGACCTGGAAGATGTCTTATCCAATGGAGGCGACGGTAATATCTGCGGTCGATCCACGATTGGAGTTCCAGGGGCTTACAGACCATGTTGTTTCTGATCCCATGGTCCCTGATCGAATGCGCCCTCGCCGTATCGGCCCTGCCCGTGAGCCTACGAGGATCTCAGCAGGCCTTTGTGGGCCAGAACGGTCCCTCCGGCGTGCTCTGTGTATTCCCTTGTTGCCGCCAGCAGCGTCTGAAGGTTCTAAGGGCCCTAGGAGATGTCCTTCAAGGGACCCCAGCTGCCCAGGCGTCGCTCGCTCGCTCGCTCCCGCTCCCCCCTCCCCCCCCCTCCACCTCCTCCTTCAGTCTTCTGCCGCTCCTCCTCACCCTGCGGCTCCTCCCTCTTCCTTCCAACCACCCCCCTCCCCCGCTCCAGACTTATACCGTAGGCGCGTCAATTGCGAGCTCGACCGTCCAGCATGTGCCCCACGGGAATTCCCCGCCACCCGGTGACCCCAGGCCCCAGGGACCACAGATGCCCGGGGGCGCCTTAGGGTGCTCAAAGATGGGCGAAGAGGATGCCCCAAGATTTCCTTTGGCAAGATGTATCATCGTGAGTGCCATGCTCCTTGCTCCTTTTCTTCCCCTCCTCCTCGTCCTCGTCCTCTCCCTGTCTCTCTCTCGCTCTCTCGTCTTGGCTCTGCTCCTCGTCATCGTCATCCCGCAAGGAGCGGGCACACGGAGGTGACGGGGACTCTCTGGTAATCATGCCCGACAGGGTGTTGCTCAAGGCCTCCGACTGGGGCGACAAGGACATTGAGCACCATTGGGAGCAGAAGGAGTTTGGGTACGATCACGTCTTCGACGACAGCTTCACACAGGAGCGGGTGTACGACGCGATTGGGGAGCCGCTGCTGAAGAACGCGATGAACGCCTACAACGGGTGCGTTTTCGCATATGGCCAGACAGGCTCTGGCAAAACTCACTCCATGGTGGGAGACGCCTCAAACGAAGCTGGCAGAGGCATCCAGCCGCGAGCTTGCATGCGCCTCTTCGAGCTGCTGGCCGAGAAGCAGAAGGAGAACACCAGCTTCCAGGCCACGCCCATGTCCTCACGTTGTTCATGTTGCTGCTGATCATCCTTGCGTCACCTGCCACCTTCCTTTTTCCCAATCCTTTCCTGCTTCCTGTCTTCTTACTCCCTCCTCTCCCTCCCCTTCATATCCCACTCATCCTCACACTTTCCGGGTATGCCCCCACTCATACAAGAAGCCAGCTTTGTCGCACCGCCGTGCGTGTCGGTAGGCTGTGGCCGAAACGTTCTCACCACCAGTGCCTCTAAAACATGACATGCCCAGCACCTTCCAGGTGATCGTTTTCTTATTCATTGTTTTGTTAATCGGCGCGGACCCTCGCCCCCCCCCCCCCCGTCCACACTCCCCCCCGCATGGCGTACGTCTTGGCTGTTTCTGGCGCCTGTTTCGAGCAGGTGGAGTCTCCCCCATGTGACGCACTGTTGCAACCCGTAGCGCTATAAACAGAGGTCCGGAGCCAGACCCCCTCCCTCCCCCCACCTTCTGCCCAAGGTCGAAACGCCATTAAGAGAATGCGCTCACGGGTACCTTCTGGGATGCACAGGTCGGGGGCGGAAAAGAGGGGGGTGATGATTAGCGGGGGTGGATATCATGGCGGGGGTCATGATATTTCCCCAGATTTCATGGCGCCTCTTCTTATTTCATTACGTCCCTGGCCCCCCCCGCTGGGCCGCGCACATGCCGCCGGTCATGATTTGCACCCCCCCCCTCTTGGATCCCCCCCTCTTGGCCGCTCCCGAACACGGGGGGAGGGGGGTCCGAGTGCGGCTTGTCGTGCCGGCACCGAGAAGAGGTCGTCTCAAGAGATGCAGCAGCTGCGTGGATGGAGGGCGCCTGCCCCTAATCGGACAGGCATAGAACTACACTTTGGGCGAGTGGATTAGCTTCTTGCGCGGATCCCGAAATTCCGAACATACTTTTGCGACATCGTCTTACGTATTGGTTCGCCCGCCATTCGAGGGGGCCGATCGCGCCTGTTGGATTTGCTGGGGCCTCTGCGTCTCTTGCCTGTGTCAGTCTGGAATCAAGGCTTGCGCCTCACGAGTGGATTGGAGGATGAGCGCAAGGTGAGTCTTTCAGCTGCGGGGGGGCGCGGGCGTTTGCCGCCACGCAGGGGCCAGGGGCAACTAGGAAACGCGCAGGGGAATGGAGGGCGGCAGGTAGAGGAAGAACGGGGGAGGGGGAGGGCAAAGCAGCGGGCGGGAATGGGGAATAGTGACCATCCGAGATACTCTGATAGGGGGAGCGATGTGGGCGGAGGCACCAGTTGCAATTCCTTCTGATAGCCCCGGGACGTTCAGACACTTCCGCCCGGAGGCCGGCAGGGGGTTCAACGGCCCTTGCCTTCCTGACTGCGGGCGGGGCGCGACGACGTACCCGACGTGTACCCCGCCCCTTTCGTTAGGTGCCGGTCTGTACGTGCTCGCCCCGCGCGAGACATCCAGCGCGTTCAGAACTACACCTAGCCAGGCACTAGGTGTAGTTCTGTACGTGCTGGTTTGACCGGAGACATCCCCACAAAACGGAGCACTTATAGAACTACACCTGGCCAGCGGGGCGGGGTGCATGTCGGGTGCCGCCACTCGCGCCCCTAACGTGTACCGCGCCCCGGCCGGTAACTGCCGTTCTGTACGTGCCCCCTTTTCGCGAAGCATCGGCTGCCCGCGCTGCCCATCGCCGAGGCCCCGTCCCCTGGGCCGCTCCCCGCCGACATCCCACATCCCCTGGCTCAGCGAAGCCAGCCACATGCCTGGGGGCCCCGACCTCGCGCAGCCCGCTTCCCTCACCCGCCTGTGCCCCAGCAGCAAATTCTCGATCCGATCCCCCGCGTTTTCAAATTCTTCTTCGTGCCCGATTCCCTGTCCGAGTGTGAGCGCTTTTTCGCGTTATGATTTTTCTTGCGGCTGCCGCCAAGCCTCGCCGTGAAACGTGGTGATCGCTTCCACGCTTGGCACGCAACGTCGTCGGCACGACCATCGCCTTCCATGGTAGGTCGTAGGGCGGCGTCCGTCCACCCAAACCGACCGACGCGCCAAATCCGATTACGATTGCCACCCCTGGTCCCCGCAACAAGGTGCAGTTTTGCTGCGTGTAGTTGTAGATGTGTTCGACCTAAACCTCCTCTTCCTCCTCCTCCGCCTCCTCCTCCCGCCCCTCCTCCTCCTCCTCCTCCTCCTCTTCCTCCTCCTCCTCCTCCTCCTGCTCCTCCTCCTCCTGCTGCTCGTCCTCCTCCTCCCGCTCGTCCTCGTCCCCCTCCCCTCTCATCCTTATCCAGCGGCTACGGGGAGTGGGGGCGCAGGCGATCCAATGGGAGGCTCTCGCCGTAGCGCCCCACGTACGCGTCGCAAAACCATGTCCAGAGGCTGCACGGGTGGAGGAAACAAAAAATAAGAAGCCTGGCGAAGGACCCAACCATTTGCCGCTGCGAGCACCGCGAGGGAATGAGACGAACCGTGTGAAGGGTGTGCCGAAATGAGTGCCTGGGACGCATGCAGGGGCATTCGGTGGGGCTTCCTTTGGGGCCACGAACCGTGCGAGGGGTGTGCCGACATTGGGTGACGGGGACGCATGTGGCCACATCCCTTGGGGCCTTCAGCGGAGCTCTCTATGGGGCCACGAAGCGTGTGAGGGCTGAGCCGACATGAGTGGCGGGGACGCATGCGAACTGCGGCACTGGGACCTTCGGTGGAGCTCCAATGGGGCCACGAAATGCGTGAGGGGTGTGCCGAAACGGGTGGCGGGGGCGCATGCTAACTGTGCCAGTGGGACCTTCGGCAGAGCCACTGGGACCCTCGGCGGAGCTCCCATGGGGCCACGAAGCGCGTGAGGGGTGCCGAAATGGATGGCGGGGGCGCATGCGCACTGCGCCACAGTGGGGCCTTCGGCAGAGCTCACATGTGGCCACAAGCCGTGTGACGGGCGTGCCGAAATGGGTGGCGGGGACGCACGCGAACGGCGCCACTGGGCCTTCCTTCGGTGGAGCTCCTATGGGGCCACGAAGCGCGTGAGGGGTGCGCCGAAATTTGTGGCCAGGACGCATGCGAATTGTCCCACTGGCACCTTCGGCGAAGCTCCTATGGGGCCACGAAACGTGTGAGGGGTGTGCCGAAACGGGTGGTGGGGACGCATACGAATTGTTCCACTGGGACCTTCGGCGGAGCTCCTATGGGGCCACGAGGCGTATGAGGGACGCGCCGAAATGGTGGTGGGGACGCATGCGAACGGCATCACTGGGATCTTTTAGCGGAGTTCCCTTGGGGCCACGAAACGTGTGAGGGGCGTGCCGAAACGGGTGGCGGGGACGCATGCGAATTTCCTCTCGGACCTTCGGCGGAGCTCCTATGGGACCACGAAATGTGTGAGGGGCGTGCCGAAATGGGTGACGGGGGCGCATGCGAACTGCGCCACTCGGACCTTCGGCGGAGCTCCCCATGGGGCCCCGAAACGTGTGAGGGGCGTGCCGAAATGGGTGGCCGGGATGCACGCGAACTGCGGCGCTGGGACCTTCAGAGGAGCTCATATGGGGCCGCGAAACCTGCGAGGGGCGTGTCGACATGGATGACGGGGACGCATGCGAACGGCACAACTGGGACCTTCAGTGGAAGTCCTATGGGGCCACGGAACGCGTGAGGGGCGCTCAGAAATGGGTGGCGGGGGCGCATCAGAACGGCGTCATTGTGGTCTTCAGCGGAGCTCCTATGGGGCCACGAAGTGTTTGAGGGGTGCGCCGAAATAGGTGGCCGGGATGCATGCGAACTGCGCCACTGGAACCTTCGGCGGAGCTCCTATGGGGCCACGAAACCTGCGAGGGGCGTGCCGAAATTGGTGGCGGGACGCACGCGAACGGCAAGACTGGGGCCATCAGCGGTGCTCCTATGGGGCCACGAAGCGTGTGAGGGATGTGCCAAAGTGAGGGGGACCACGAGGATGATGGAGGAGAGAGGAGGGGAGGAGGAAGGAAGGAAGGGACGAGGGAACTTGCGGACCTTTTCTTCGAAACGAGGACCCAACACCACAGGACGGTTGGGAGACAGAAGGGCCGCGCGTGTACGTCTTCGACGCCCCCTGATAGCAACGAGGATGGAAGGCGTGCCGCTTCGCTTACCGAATAATGCGTCGACCGTTGCGCCGCGAAGACGTCTCTTAAAAAGCCTCCTGCAAGGAACTGCAATTGAACAGAAGGATGGAGTGCGGGTCCTTCTTCAAAATGGGGTTCTTGCTTCGGCGCCGTGCGCAGTCGTCGGTACAGCATCTACCATCTGCAAGGACCGAGGGCGGTTATGATTCGAAGTTCGGTTGTCGCTTGAGACTTCCTCGAGCTGGACGGCCAAGCTCGGATTGGAGAGCTTCTCCCGCGGAAGAAGGATGGTTCCTCTTCAACACACGGGCGTCGCAGGATGTGTTCTCGAAGCTTGTCGCCAGAAGTGTGATATTGTGCAGCACGTGCGCTGACGGAGGACGGCTCCCGTTCAAGCCGGGGTTATCGTCGGCTACTCATTGCTTCATAAACTATAGCACCGTGCCGCATTCTTTGCGCAGTCGGGGCGCTGAAGAACGGACCCTTTTCGTTGGGGAGGGGCTCCGTGTTCCACAGCTGTTTCGCAGTTTGCCTCAGGTTGTCCTCGGGTGTTCGCTGGGAAATCGACGTTTAACTTATGGAAGAAAGGGGCCTCGTTCCTTATGTAATGGAGAATGACGATTGATAAATGACCGGGGGTCGTGTTCACGCGGCGGCGCCCGGGATGACGATTAGAGAAAACCGGCCGCGGGCTGGAAAACTATTTGTTTTATCGTTCTCCTCCAGTCAGAGAGTTATGCAGAAAAAACAGAAAACTATGTTTTTTATTAATCGTCATCCCGCATTAGGGTCCCTTAGGTCAGCGCCCCGACTGCAGGTTGAATGATGCGGCGAAGCTCCATGTCACAATGTGGCTCGCGCCCAGCAGGGCCGCGGGGCGCTCGTCTCTCCGGAGGCCGCCTCCCGCAGTGGCGGGGCTGCCTGCGTTGCATCGTTGTTTTGTTGTTGCGAGGATGGGGCTTCTGGCGGGAGCGTGGATGGCCGCATGTTCGACGGATCCCTGGTTTTAGCTGGTGCTCCTCCTCCTCCTCCTCCTCCTCCTCCTCCCACGTCCTCTTCCCGATCCTCTTCCACTCCCCTCATCCTCCTCCCACTCCTTCCCTTTCGCTTCCTCATATCATACTTCTCTTCTCTTCTCTCCCCTCACTTCTCTCTCTTCGCCCCCCACGTCATCATTCTCTCCATTTCCTCCCCCTGTCTGGAGCAAGGGACGAGGAGGAGGAGGACGCATACGAGGAAGGGTAGGAGGGATGGAGGTTGGGGAGGGAGGAAGAGAGGAGAGCCCCCTTCTTCTTGCCCACCCCAGGCAACAGTCCTGGCTACATATATGGAGATCTACAACGAGAAGATCTTCGACTTGCTGAGCGTGGGCGAGAGCTCGAAGGACGAGCTCAACGTTCGCCTGCACCCGACTCTGGGCCCGATCGTGGCCAACCTCAAGGAGTGCGGGGCGGGCGGAGGAGGGGACGGAGAGAGGAAGGGCAAGGAGGAGGAGGGTAAGCACTTACGTGTTATCCTCCTCCTCCTTCTCCTCCTCCTCCTCCTCCTTCTCTTCCTCCTCCTGCGCCTCCTCCTCCTCCTCCCTCCTCCTCCTCTCCTCCTCCTCCTCCCCCTCCCTCCCCCTCCCCCTCCCCCTCCCCCCTCCTCCTCCTCCTCCTCCTCCTCTCCTCCTCCTCCTCCTCCTCCTCCTCCTCCTCCTCCTCCTCCTCCTCCTCCTCCTCCTCCCCTTTCTCGATCACCCTCGACCCCCCTCGATCCTACTCCTCGCCACCCAGAGCCCCTGGGCTCAGCATGCCCGAGGAGTGCCCCATTCAGAACTACTCGGACGCTGCCGAGCTCTTCGACTTCGGCGCCAAGCGGCGCGCCGTGGGGGCCACACAGATGAACGAGACGTCCTCGCGGTCCCCCCCCCCTCCCCCCCCCCCCCCCCTCTGCCCCCCCCCCCTTCTGCCCGCCCCCCCCCCTTCTGCCCCCCCCCCCTTTCTGGGCCTCCCCTCCCTTCGTCCCTCCCGCCATTCCTCCATCCTTCGTCCCTCCCTCTCGCCCACGCCTGTGGTGAGGTTTCTCTCAGCATCTTGTCTCTCCTCCGTCCGGCGCGTATCGCCGGTGGAGGCTTGCCTCTCGAGGCCCAGGGCCTTCGAGAGAGCTGCCCCCCAGAGAGCCACTGCGAGACGAAAAGTCTTCACACAGAGTTCCGCCGCGCCCTCCCGGTCCTTGCTGGGCTGGGACGGGCTGGGATCGGGTTGGGCAAGTCCTCCCTGCTTCCCTGCCTCCCTCCCTCCCTCCCTCTCTCTCGGTCCTTGCTGGGCTGGGACGGGCTGGGTTGGGTTGGGCCGGTCCTCCCTCCCTCACTCCCTCCCGCTCGGTTCTTGCTGGGTTGGATTAGGTTGGGCTGGGCCTCCATGCTTCCCGCTGCAGTTGAATCGAGGGCTGGGCGGTGGGGCCTCAGGACCCACATGCGTACCCCATGCCATGCTCCTTGCCCTCTCCGTCCCTGCGCGGTCCGCAGTTCCCCAAGCTCAGCAACGTGCGTGCCGACAAACTTTGTGTTGTGTGTTCTCTCTTTCTTTATTTCTTTCTCTCGCTCTCTCTCTCTCTCTCTCTCTCTTTCTCCCTCATCATTATGATTCAATTCCTTTCTCTTCGCTTTCTTCATTTTACAATCAACCTGCATTGCAAGGATGTGTATTTTTCCAAGGCTACCCTTGCATCCGTGCCCCTTCGTCCCACCTTTAGCGACTTTCGCTGGCCAATCTCGTTCGAAAAACGTCAACGTGGCCCTCCAAGGCCCGTGCGTCCTTACCGCGCATCTTTCTTGTACGAGTTGACTGAAATATTTTTTCTCTCACGTTTCTTCTTCTAGTCTTTTTAATTATGATTATTATTATTATTTCTGGTCCTCTCACTCCCTCTCCCTCTCCTCCCTCCCTCGCGGGCGTCGCCAGGCAGGGCTAGGCGTTGGATGGGTCTGGGTCTGGGCTTGGCTGGGCGCCTTCGTCGTGTGCCAGCGCTGCGGGCCGCCGCTGCCGCGAGGGCCCTTTCTGTCTCCAGGAGGCCCGCTCCCTTTCTGTGCCATCTGCGCACGTCCCCGCCCTTCACAGGGGCTGCCTGGGCGTGCCCTCGGGGCCGCCGGCGCCTCTGCCGCGGCGCGTCTGGATCCAGCGCGCATGCCCGTACCACGCGGCCGCAGTTGCGCCAGCGGATCCGCACTCGGGTGACCTGCAAGAGTTCGGTGCATGTGCCATCGCTGAGTGCCAGCACGCGGCATTCTCTCATTCATCCTCTGACTCTCAGTCTTCGTCCAATCCTTTCCTCCTCCTGCTCCTCCTCTTTCCCCTTCCCCCCGGCCTCCAACCCTCCGCCAGACCCCAGGAGTGGCGAATGTCACATTCCCTTTTGATTTCGCTTCTCAGAGGTCCCACGCTATCTTCACAGTCCAGATCCGGACCTCCGTCAAGGTCGCCCCGCGTGAGCTTGCCAGAAGGAGGGGGGAGGCAGGAGGAGGACAAGGGCGAGGACAGGCGGGAGGACGAGAAGCAGGAGGATGAGGAGGACAAGCAGGGTGATAATGAAGAGGACGACGAGGACGAGTAGGACGAGGAGGACGAAGAGCAGCAGGAGCAGGAGTAGGATGAGGAGGAGATGGACGAATATGTTTACCACAACGGGGAGGAGGTCTCCTCCTTTTCCTCCTTTTCCTCCTTTTCCTCCTTTTCCTCCTCCTCCTCCTCCTCCCGCATCCCTCCTCTCACCTCCTCCGTTTTCCGCCCTACCCCTCCTTTCCTCATCCTCCTCCTTCTCTTCTTTCTCCTCCTCCTCCTCCTCCTCCTCATCCTTCCTACTCGTCCATCTTCCCTCCTACAATATTATCCCTCCTTTCTTCCGCCTCCTCCGTCCCCTCCTCTCTCCGCTCACTCCTCTCTCCTCCTCGATCCTGTTGATCCTACTATTCCATCCTCCACGCTTGCCATCCTCATCTCGGCACCCCATCATTCGTTCTCCTCCCCTCATCCCTTGTTTCTCTCCACTCTCCTCCAGCTCCTCCCCCGCCTCCCTTCCTTTCCTCCCCCTAGCTTTCCCTGCCTGGACACCCCAAGAAGAGAGACAGCAGCACAAATCATGTCAGAGCAAAGCAGAGAAGCACGGTGCAAGAAATGTAAGCAAAGCAGTGCAATCCAATGCTTGGCAATACCAGCCAACGCATAACAACGATTGCGATACAAAGCAATGTAGCATAGACCGATTAGCATTAGCAGTTCGCAGTGCAAAGTAAAGCAGAACAGTTCATGTCAATGGGATGCGCGCAATATCGCATGTATTAGCACAGCAAATCAATGCAGTGCAACGCCTTTTGATGCCTAAGTTGGTAACGCAGCCCCTGCAACCTCGAGCACACCGACGAGGTCCCATTCGTTCTGTATGATCAAATGTGATGTCGATGCCAGCCGGCTCGGTGCGACCCGATTCCGATGTTCTGACGATCCGATGCAGCCCGATGTTCGTATGGCGTTGCTGTGCGTCTTGGCTCGGGTGACAGCCGATCCGTTTCAATCTCGGTTCCGTGCCAAAGCGGCTCATTCCGCCTCACGTTCCGATTCGCTCCGACTTCCTAACTCGATGCAGGGGGTTCTTGCCTCATGGGCACAGGAGGTGCAACGCAAAGCAGATCAGAGCAGCGTCCAGGCAATTCCGAGCAGCCCTTGGGATAACCCGTGGAGCACCACCTCCGTCGCCACACATCCTGAATGATGTTGAGATTATATCAACTACGGGACAAGCGCTCACAACCTGCCACGGACTAGCCCTACCTCTCCTTCCTGGGGCTTGGAGGGAGGGCTGCTTACTGCAGCATCGTTGGCGAGTCTCGGGTCTGCAGTGGTCCTCCACGTCCTCCTCCTCGCCCTCCCCATCCTTTCTCCCTCCTGGCCCCACAGAAATCGGGCCTCGCATGGCGAGCGGGGCAGGGGAGGGCGAGGAAAGAGGGAGGAGGGGCATGATGATGAGGGAGAGGAGGAGGAGGAGGAGGAGGAGGAGGAGGAGGAGGAGGAGGACGAGGAGGAGGAGGAGGAGGAGGAGGAGGAGGAGGAGGAGGAGGAGAGGAGGAGGAGGAGGAGGAGGAGGAGGAGGAGGAGGGAGGAGGAGGAGGAGGGAAGGGGGGGGAGGAGAGGAGGAGGAGGAGGAGGAGGAGGAGGAGGAGGAGGAGGAGGAGAGGAGGAGGAGGAGGAGGAGGAGGAGGAGGAGGAGGAGGAGGAGGGGAGGAGAGGAGGAGGAGGAGGAGGAGGCGGAGGAGGAGGGAGGATGAGGAGGAGGAGGAGGGGGAGGAGGAGGAGGAGGAGGAGGAGGAGGAGGAGGGGGAGGAAGCGGCAGGCAGATGTAAAGGGGAAGCAGGGCTGAGGCAGGGCGCGGGGAGGGCGGTGAGGGGCAGGCGAGGCGCGGACCCCTCGTGCTCCAATTCACGATGGACGCGGTGACGGTGGTCCTCCATGCTGTCGGCGATGCTGCTTCTTCTCCCCCCCCTCGCCCAGAGGTCTGCACCCCTTCCCCGGGGTCCAGCTTTCAGGCAATGCGCTCTCACTGGCACGCGTTCGGACTGGCTGACACAGTTTGCTTCCAACAGCTATGAGCGCAACGATGCCTACAGGAAGAGCCCGTCCTCAGCTCAAAACTCCCACAACGACCGCGCCCTTTCTGCCCGGATCAGTGCCGTTGTGGCTGCGTACTTTCCCGTTGAGGAGGTTGTTGACGGCCCCGTGGCCAGGTGAGGGCCCCCTCAGATTTAACACATCACCAGAGACCTTCTGTCGCGACTGTTACACAGCGCGAGGATGTCAGGGTCCTCGGATGCAGCTCCTGGGAGATTCAATTCTGCATCGGGGCTTGTATGCCCGTGGTCGCAAACAGGCCAAGTGCAGCACGAACCTGCTTAGTCGGGCTGAGCTCTGGGCTTCATCTGGGCCAACCCACCGCAGTGGCCTTGGGCACAATGGCCCCTGGCCGTTCTCACCAAGCTCTCCGAGAAGTTGCCTCGCTCTTTCTCCCTCCCTCACTCCCCACACCCTTTACAAAGACGTTTTAAGTGGTGGTGTTTAATCAATGTTTGGATATTTTGAAACATTGTGTATACCATTTTAAATCAATAAAAACGTTTTTAGTGGTGGTGCAGCAGAGCTGGTATAAGAATATGCTCAAAAAAGGTAAAAGACTTTACTATATAATGACACATCTTTTTAATTCTGAATTTTTATTTTCTATAAAAGGCTGTTCCTTTAAGCCCTGGAGCCATGGTTCTTGTTACATGACTTGGACCCCCAGCGGTCTGGACCCGTTGCCCAGGGCCAGCCTCTCATCCCGAGTCGTTTTCCTGACGGTCCCGGAAAGGGCCCCCCCGAGGCCGAAAACAGGGAGGAACGCCTCCCGTCGTGATTTCGGCTCCTGCCGCGAGGAGTAAGTCGTGCCTGCCCCTCTGCAGGAGGAAGATGCAAGCATAGTATTCAAGACAAAGGTCCTGGGGCAATTGTTTCAGCATGTTTTTCATATGTTCGGGCATGTCGGGGTGATTCCTTGTTTTTCGTCCGAGGTCCCCCTGTGGGGGGACATGCCCGACCTAACCCGAGGGGGCCTGGGCCCCTCGCTCCCCCCTCCTCCTCCCCCTGCGCCTCGCCGAGGTCTCCGGGGTCACCACCGAGAGCCAGGCCAAGGTCTGCTGGGCACATCTTCCACCACCACCACCACCATGTGTAGGACGAGGGAGAGAGAGGATGAGGAGGACCTCCTCCTCCTCCTCCTCCTCCTCCTCCTCCTCCTCCTCCCTCACCGAGCGCGGTCCACTACTCGCAAGCTGCCTCCTCGCAAACGTCCGAAAGACACATGTCTGGTTTGAGGTGGTGTATCGTAGATCCCCCGCGGAGGATCCAGGCCATTTGCGAGCGGTTACTTTTCGCGAATCGTGGAACGCGCTCGTCTACTCCCTCTCCTACTTACTTGGCATCGCTCGGACGTGTGCATTTTTCCTTCGGCGAGGACCATCGAGGAGCATCCTTGATCATTTGGCGAAAAACCACGCACGAAACCACAAGAAAACACAGGGAGTGGACGTCCGAGCGATGGCGAGACTTATGGCAGTGGTGGCGGAACATGTGCCCATCAAGGTCCACTTCGTGGACCTGGCGGGAAGCGAGCGCCAGAAGAAGACGCAGGCCAGCGGCACGAGGCTCAAGGACGGCGCGGCAGAGTCCGCTTGCCGCCGCGCCCGTGGTCCCGACGCGCGACCCTCCGTCCTGTGGAGGGCTCCTCCTCCTCCTCCTCCTCCTCCTCCTCCTCCTCCTCCTCCTCCCTCCCCCTCCCCCTCCGCCAGGGCAAGCACCGCCTCGGACGCGGTGGGTTTGCCGTGGGGCTTGCCGCGGCGCGGGCGTCGACTGGGTGGGCGCGGGGCGCAGGGTGTGCTGAGGGTTTGCAGTGGTGCCGGCGTCGTTCACTCAGGCGCGTTCAGAGCAAACGGCGCGGCGACACGTGTGTCTGCAAGACGTATATTTCGGGCCTATGCCAAATACCATTCCCATTGTTTGGCTACATGTTGGGGCCGATAGCGTCTGTAGACATATTGTGTGCCGTTACGTATATAGATACATGTGGGGCGGATACTTCTTTCGGCGCAGTGCAAGGTCGGAGACATGATCGGTCCGTCCAAGGATGTTCCTGTTCTAGATTAGGTCCTGGATGGTGTTCCAACTCCGCCTCCTCCACTTCATCCTCTTCTGGAGGTTGGGTGGGAACAGAAACAATTTGACCTTACCTGTTCGAATAGCTTTTGAGCGTTTTTCCCCTTTTTCGGAGCCTGGGGGGGGGCTACTCGGCGCCACGGCTGGGTCCGCCTCGACCTTCTGGTCAGAGCGCAGCCCAGAATCGATCCGGAGGCCGACATTGGACCCCTGGGCCCTGACGTTGGAGATGTCGCGACTGTGCCACGCTTTCGAGCTGGCGTTCACGATGCGACTTCAGAGGAGGAGAGGGAGGAGGAGGAGGAGGAGGAGGAGGAGGAAGAGGAGGAGGAGGAGGAGGAGGACGAGGGAGGGAGGGAGGGAGGGAGGGAAGGAGGGAGGGATGGAGGGAGGGAAGGGGGGAAGGAAGGAAGGAAGGAAGGGAGGAGGGAGGAGGAGGGGAGGACGGAAGGAGGAGGAAAGAGGAAGGAGGATGATGGCGATGATGATGATGATGATGATGATGATGATGATGATGATGATGATGATGATGATGATGATGATGATGATGATGATGATGATGATGATGATGATGATGATGATGATGATGATGATGATGATGATGATGATGATGATGATGATGATGATGATGATGATGATGATGATTATGATGAGGAGGAGGAGGAGGAGGAGGAGGGACACGAAGGAGGCGGAGGAGGAGGAGGAGGAAGATGAGGAGGAGAGGAAGGAGAAGGAGGAGGAGGAGGAGGAGATGAGGATTGAGGAGGAGGGAGGAGGGAGGAGGAGGAGGTGTGTGGCACACCTCCCTGCTTTTCTGATTCCTCTCCACGCTCCAAACTAGCGCGTGCTACGCATCAAGTTACAACGGAAGGGTTGGTGGTTGTCGGCTTCCTGGGCAGGCTCTTGCAGTCGTCAAAAAAACAGTTCAGGATTGAAAGGCTGTTCCCGAGAGAAGGGGTCTAGACCTCCTTGGCTCCACGCTGTGGAACAATAGCCACGACGTCGGATAGCTCAAGCCGCGGCGAAACGTCCTGACTCACTTGTGTTGAAGACCGCTTTTGGTTAGGGCGAAATGTTATTGGGTTCTTCCTCGTCGCCCCGAACGGTCGGTCCCCCTGCTCAAACGCCTGCAGGAAGGGAGGACTTGCGCATGACTTGCGGTCGCGCTGCCGGTACTTACCGGGCCACCACGCTTGGGCGCGACACGCGGACCACCTCCCAACTCCGATGCGCCAACGTCCCGAGCCTCTCCCTGCCCCGCGGAGCGGAGCTGCACGCCACCGTGTCGCGTGTAGCCCCGGCGGCTCTGGCCCACCACCCTTCGGCGCGGCGCGCTATCCTTCATGGGCGTGTCTTCCACTACCACAACCATAAGTTGGAGTGGGGAAGGAGGTAAAGGATGAGGAGGAGGACGAAGAGGAGGAGGAGGAGGACATTCTGGACATTCTGGACAATGAGAGCTCATGGGCAGCCACAAGAGTTATGAGAGATATCACACAACATGCACAAGCACTATGCAAGCACACAGATGACAACAAAAAGAGAGCAACGAGGGACCCCATCACCTCGTCGCAATGTCCGAGCCTCGCCCTGCTGCACAGCAGAGAAGGGCATGAGCTCGGCACGCTCGGATCCTATCCTCATCCACGAGAGGAGGAGACAGGGGAAGAGGGGAAGCATCAGCGGCCGCAGCCGCAGAAAAGAGGCCTCCTGCAGGAACGGACCGCCGAAGAGCTCGACGGAACCTCGCCTGCTCGCGGCGGCGGGCGATGGCCTGCCTCAGCTCGGCGGTGAGCTCCACTCGGGTGGGGGGAGAGGAGGAGGAGGAGGAGGAGCGGGGTGGGGAACCCAGGGATCCCCAGACGCCTCTAAAGTCCTCAGCATCCCTTCCTCGGCCCAGGGGTCGGGTTCGTCAGGCCAAACGTCGCCGCCTTCAGCCACCTGGGGCTCTGAAAGGGGCTGAGGACACAGCACATCACCACGGTCCTGGGGGGCGAGAGGGACAGCAGGTCGGTCAAATCTGTGGTCCTTGGGCCCCCTATTACTGAAACCAGCAAAATCAAGAGCAATATCTTCATTGGGAGCTGCAGCAGCATAGGAGTCGAGGGCCTGAAAAAAATGGCTCAGTCCATCAGGAATATCTGTGGGGTCCAGGGCTTCACGGTCACATAGCCGATAAGCCTCTGAAACAAACTCCGATATTGCACGTCCCATTGCTGCACATAGCGCCTGAGGGTACCTTTTTTTGGGAGTAGTCCTCCACTTTCCTGTGTCAGGATCGATACCCAGCAAAGTTGTGTGAGTGTTCTTTGGATGGTCACATCTTCCCCCTCTTCCCAATCCCTGCATTTCGTCCCCGATGGAGTCGAGTCTTATGCATAGGAACGTCGTTGGGGCCTTACTGGCCTGTCCGAAAACACATTGGTCGAAACTGAAGGTTCGGGAGGGAGGGGCAGCACACAAGGCCCGTGCCGTGGCGGACTGCCACGAGCTGGGAACCCGAGGTTCCCAGTGGGCCTCCTCAGGATGCTCTTTCAGTGCACACGCACCTACCTCCAGGCAGGTCAGCATCAACTTGTGCTGGCTCAGCAGGAGCTGCGTTCCAATTGAGAGCTGCAAGTGCTGACGACTCGAAACATCAGGACGGCCCCATCCGTGTTTGAGAGTACGAAGAGGGGCTGGGGGGCGGGATCGATCAGCAACTCGAAGCTCCTGCCATCGCGCAGCTGACCAGGTCTCGCACGGCGGGCCTCCTATGAGTCCTATAACACGGCCTGATCTCAGGAGCACATCCCACTTTTGCACTTCTGCACCATCTCTTCACGGGTAAGGTCACCATTCGCCTCATCACAAGCCACATCACAGGAAATGATAATGGCAGTCACGGGCCCATGGGCCAGTACACGCTCGAGCTCCTCCTGCACATATCCTGTCCTCCGGGCTCCTGAGAACAGATGTAAACAAGCAAGCACAGCATACTGTAGCTGTCGTGGACAGCGCTCAGCCGCTGGTCCTTCATAGGCTAGAGGTTCAAATTCATGCTCATCCTCCAGTGGGGGCTCACAGTGGGGTACTTCACTCTGGACCTCAAAGATGGGTTCTGGGGCGTCCTGGTACTGGTATTCCATACTACGTGTGACCTGCCAGGCACCCACATGATGCAACTGGGTGGCTTGGGGAGCATTCCGAGGTCCAGGCACTCGATAGGCAGGGAGCCAGGCTCCCCGACGCATGGCCCCTTTTTGTCGGGCTTGTTTCCTCTCAGAAGCCTCCAAAGTACGCACCTCCTCCAATACCTCCGAAGCCTCAGGGTTCAGGAACAGGAGGGCCGAGATGAAGCAATTGGGGTTGCCATACGTCAGGTGATCAATATTTAGTTCCACAGAGCTGCTAAACCTTATCAGACAAATCGGGCATGTACGACTGTGTATATGTCTGGCGGCAACATCACGTTGCCTATGATGAAGTCGGGCGATATGAGACTTGACTGCGGCACACTTCGGGGGCAGGAACGGGCGAAACGGGCAGCGATGCACAACAGGCACAGGGGCTGGTCGCAGAGACAGATCAGGCGGCACTCCAATACTCGCAGCATGCTGAAAAAAAACTCCTGCGTGCGTCGCTTGGCATCCTCGATACGGCTGGCCCAACGGATATGTGATTCAATCCCAGATCTAACCAGGTTCGCCCAGTGCTGCCCCCTTCCCATGATCTCCTTCTCCCATGGCCCAAACTCCGAGAACGGACTTGGGAACTCACGAAGCCGAGAAACCCGAGTACGGAGCCACCTCAAATCATTCAAAACCACGTTGAACCACGAGTGCTTTGGCTCGGACGTGGCTCGAATCAACCCAAAGAGAGCCCCAGGAGCATGCCTGCAAAGACGGGTAAGATAGCGGAGACGGTGCCAGCGCATCATGATATCCACGTCGCTCTTGTTAGCCAGTGCCAAAATGGCCTGGTCTGTCGCAGCATCGTCATCATAGGCCGGCCGTCCCAGCGCAGACCGATAGATGCGAATGATTCCAGCACGGTACTTCTTAAATTGCGCAGCGGTAGGGTTCGGCCACGTAGCCGCGTTGTAGAGCCTGCCTGAGAGTATCAGCACGTCGGACAGCTGCAGCTTATGCTGCACTGGAAGCTGAGGGTTCGGAAACACCGTTTGTCGTAGGCCTGCAGCGACGACGACGTCGAGGAAACCCGATAGGCCAGCTCAGGGGCCATGTCCTGCTTGTCCGAGACCATACCCCCAATATGCTTATACGAGTGAACAGCCTCCAAAGACAGGCCTTGCGGAAACGTGCGGGTACCAGGGATGCAAACCTTGCCCTCCTCCTCGATCCAGAACTGCCTGCGGGCCGAAACCGAGCCAGGTCCTCGAAAGGTGACCAGCGGGGCCGTCTTGGTGGGGCCCGCATTGATCTTGAGGCCCACGGGGGTGAAGGAGTCCGCCACAAACTACACGAGCGTGCGAGTTCGTTGTATCATGGAGCCAGCTG